AACGCCGGCAGCACCCACATCAGCAGCAGAGAGGGGGTTGGCACGGCGTCCGGAGCCGAGGAGGACGCCCCCGCCAGCAGCGAGCAGGCGAGTGCGCAGAGCGAGCCGAGCCCGGCGCCGCCTGCCCAACCCCAGATCTACCCTTGGATGCGCAAGCTACACATAAGTCATGGTAAAGCCAGCCTTTTTCTAAATCCACGCGGCCGCGGAGGCGCGGCTCCCCGTCTCCCTCTCCCTCTCTCCTCTGCCGCCCTCTCTCCCCGTTCTCTCCTGGTCTCGCCTCTCCCAGCCCCGTGGAGCCTCTCCCCGCCGGTTTCCTTTCCTGCCTTCCTCCATCCTCCTCCTCTTCTTCGCAGCGCCCTGCGTTCTCAGGGTGGGGGTGGTGGTGGTGAGGGGAGCCGCTGGATAGGCAAGTTTAGACGTGGAAAGGGGGGGAAGGAGAAAACCCAGGTCGAACCCCAGCGCCTCGGAACGCGCTCCCGGGTCAGGCCAGCCAAGCAGGGCGCAGAGGTAGAGGATGGCAGTAGGGGCTGTGAATCGGGCTTGTCAGGACGGATAATTTATGAGGAGGGCTACGCTGGGGAAACAGCGTTACTAATTAGAGTCCCCGAAAAGGGGCTTGGGGGGCATAATCCCGGCGAGAGCCGGCGGGACTCTGAAGTTTGGGGGCAGGAGGAAGAGCAGGAAAGGAAAGGGAAGAAAAAGAAAGCAGGCGCCCCAAGCGTGCAGGCTGGAACAGGCGGCGGCTCTCCGGGCTGGAACTTTAAGGGAGAGTGATCTAGAGGCCACTTGGGCGCTCAGAAAAGGGCCCTGCTTTGGTGGGTTTCTGAATGGCAGCCTGGAAGGGCTGTGCCCTCGCCTCGGGGCACCAGGGCAGGGCCAGAGGGTAGGAGAGGGCTGGGGGGGGGGAGAGCGAGGTATCCTCAGGGGCGCAGCTCCAGCCTCAGATGGCCTGATTGTTCCCAGAGTCCAAATCGTATTGTTTTCTCTCTAGAAAGGAAGAGGGAAGGAAATTGGGGGGGCGAAGAGGGAGGACTTGTTGAGCTTTTTCTCTCCTGTTCCCTGCTCAGGACCCTGGCTCGTCCAGCTGGCGGACTTTGGTGGCCAGGGGCTGAGGAGTTGGTGGCTAAACCGCTGACTTTTCTGTTGCAGACAACATAGGCGGCCCGGAAGGCAAAAGGGCCCGGACGGCCTACACGCGCTACCAGACCCTGGAGCTGGAGAAGGAGTTCCACTTCAATCGCTACCTGACCCGCCGAAGGAGGATTGAAATAGCACATGCTCTTTGCCTCTCCGAGAGACAAATTAAAATCTGGTTCCAAAACCGGAGAATGAAGTGGAAAAAAGATAATAAGCTGAAAAGCATGAGCATGGCGGCGGCAGGAGGGGCCTTCCGCCCCTGAGTATTTGAGCGTTTAAAGTACTGAGCAGTATTAGCGGACCCCGCGTAGTGTCAGTACTAAGGTGACTTTCTGAAACTCCCCTGTGTTCCTTCTGTGAAGAAGCCCTGTTCTCGTTGCCCTAATTCATCTTTTAATCATGAGCCTGTTTATTGCCATTATAGCGCCTGTATAAGTAGATCTGCTTTCTGTTCATCTCTTTGTCCTGAATGGCTTTGTCTTGAAAAAAAAATAGATGTTTTAACTTATTTATATGAAGCAAGCTGTGTTACTTGAAGTAACTATAACAAAAAAGAAAAGAGAAAAAAAACACACAAAAAAGTCCCCCTTCGACCTCGTTTAGTGCCAATGTTGTGTGTTGCACTCCAGTTGTTTAACTGTGCATGTGAGTGGAAGTGTTCCTGTCTCAATAGCTCCAAGCTGTTAAAGATATTTTTATTCAAACTACCTATATTCCTTGTGTAATTAATGCTGTTGTAGAGGTGACTTGATGAGACACAACTTAACTTGTTTGACGTGTAGTGACTAGTGACTCTGTGACGAAAACTGTGACTCCAAGCGGTGTGTCCCTGCGTGCCTTTGTAGGACCCTTTGCACGAACTCTGGAAGTGGCTCTTATAAGCGCAGCTTCAGTGATGTATGTTTTTGTGAACAAAGTTACAAATATTGTCCAAGTCTGGCTGTTTAAGCAAACTGTGATCAGCTTTTTTTTTTGTATTTGTTTTTAAGGAAAAAATACTGACTGGAAACAAAAAATAAACTTTCTATTGTAAGTTCTCTTGGTCTGGTTTGTGCCAAATAGTGAGCGGCTCTTTCTGCTCTTCTGTCTGTCCAGTCCTGGGGGCGGGTGAGTCTGAGGCTACCTGAGCAGCCTGCCTGTGCCAGGAGACCTCAGACGGACACCCTGACCCACAGCCTTCCTAACTCTGACCTTTCAGAAAGTTCAGGACGGAAGGTGGAAAGCTGTAGGTGTTCCCAAAGCCTGAGTCCAACCTGCCCATCTCTGAGGAAACCCAGTAAACGTGCTGGGTACAAAACAGAGGAGGAGAGAGAAAGGAGGGAAAGCCCAGGGCTTTGTTAGCGGCCCACGGGGCCCACACAGATGCCGCCTGTTTCTAAGGCCCTCCTGGGCCTCCACTTGAAGAGGTTGCTATGCCAAGTTGTGGCCCCCAAACTCGCTGCCTCTAACCCACCCAGGCACCCCTTCCCAGGCCTCACCCTGAACCCAGTTGGCTTCTTATGCTACAATTAATTTGCTACAAATGGAAGGTACTTACCCCATCCTAGCTCGATTGGGAAACTCCTCAGGGCGGCTAAAGCACAACTAGAGATTTGCACATTTACCGACTGCTTACACTGATGCCGTCGTTCCTTTTAAAAGTTATAAAACAGTAAACTTTATAAGCCCCAGTTCCGGCTATATGACATTTGGGTGCCAAATGAATAGGGTTTTGTCTATGAATTAGATCGTAAAATCATCCATAGCACAGACAGATCGGCTCACTGGCTATAAAACGTCACGTGGGGCCATTAAAGTAAGTTTTATGGTTTTGGGGAGTTGACATCCAACATTATATACCACATAACATATAATCTCACTGACGCTGGACTCCATTTGACTCTTTTGCAGGCTACGTGTGCCGCCTGGTCATTCAAATTGTCAATTTTAGGTCCAGAAGTGTCCAAACCACAAGTTCTCAAAACTCTCTGAAAAATGGCTCCCTCCGAATTAAGGTAAGCTCGCCTCCTGAGCACTTTCGAGTTTATTTGTACTCTGAAAACTTTCTTCTTCCTGGATTTCTCGCGCGCGCGCTTTCTCTGTCTCTGGGTCAGTAACTCTGAGGTTGCCCCTGAATTCAAAAGGGGGGGTGGGGTCCCGCAAACTTTCCCTCGGCGCCCCAGCAGCGCCAGGAGCCTGCTCTGCGGGCCACACGGTGAGCCGCGCCTGGGCCGGCGCATCCCCAGGCCTGACTCTCATTGCTGCGCCGCGGCTGGTAATGACTTCCGCCGCGCTCGCCCTGCAAAAAGGTGATTTTTGTGTGCGGTGGGCCTGCGTGTGGATTCGTGGCTGGGCCGCCCCCATCCCGGGCTGGCGGGTCCTGGTTGTGGGGGGGGTCGCGGAGCCCTGGGGTGGGGGCTGGGAGGCAGTGGGGCGCGCTCGGGCGCCAGGGCCGCGCTGAGCTGGGGAGTTGGAAAGAAAGGCCCAGGCCGGGCCCTGCCGAGGCGGACTCCGGCGGGATTCCTTGTGGGGCTGTGGCAATATGTCTTCGCGGGGCCTGGGTCATTCGGCAGCACTGAGCGGAGGCGGCCGGCTTCGGGCACGGTGGGACTGTTCTCACCCGCCTGTGAGTCTGAAGCAATAAACTTTATGGCCGGATTTAACTTTAGTCTTTGAATCCCCAGGCTAAATGAAAGGAGTTACGGCGCTTTCTTTTCTTCCGCCTCGCCTCTCTTTTCACTCTCTTCCCTTTTTCTCTCTTCTTTTGTAGAATTTAAAACATCCATGTACAGGGCCCTCAAAAGGCAACTAAGGCGCCCCCCCCCCACCCCTTAGATAACTCTAAAGATAGAGAAATGTACTCCCCCTCAACATACAGGGGGAATTCTTCCAAACTGTGCCCTAAAGTTTTGGGGGAAATCGAGGTGTCTTCAACGCCCAACTTAAAAGTCCCCAGAGCCATTAGGTTGTTTTCCCTGACACGTCATAAAGGGTAGTTGAGGGAAGAAATTGGTCGTTTGTCAGTAGGAGATTTCCGCCTTTCTTTTGTTAGCTGCTCTTTCTGTTTGATCCCAGGAAATTTACATAATCTATGATTTCCAAAACAGTCCCCAATATTGCACCAATGGGTGAAGTAAGGTGAAAGAAATCTTTCCTGGGTACAATTCCAGCTTGGCCTCAGCCACCCCCTCAAGTCCCCCCCCCCCCATTCTTCCGTGGCAGAGCAGTGACTGGGGATGCTGTGGCCTGTCCCTCAGGGTGGGTATTTCTCTGGATGGGCACTCACATGGGACCTTGCGGATTTCCCCCATCCCGACTGAGGAATTAAGCCAAATTTTTCAACTTAGAAATGAAACAAACAAACAAAAAATGGGATCTTCTGCCTCCACATGCTTTTCTCCTTGGGAACTGGGTAGCTTTCTGCAAGTGCTCATTGGTAAAGATATGTACTAAGTGCTCCAAGTGGAAAAACTTAAAGTGTAGATTTGGAATTTCTACGTACTTTATTGTGCACAGGCCACTCCTACTCAACATTAGTCCAACAGATGTTCCCAAAGACAGAGGTCCAAAGAGCAAAACCTGGGAAGTTTTCTGCAAGGTGGAAACCCTCCTCCAAGTCCCACTTCTCTTGAATAGTGAGTGGCAAGGAAGATCCCTGAGGTCATGTTTTGTGCCCTGTGAGAGTGAGCATTGCGGTGCCAGTGCTCAGGAAAAAGTGCCTACACCTTGGTGGGGACCAGAATAGAAACTCCCTTTGGGTTCTCTTTTTTATTTGAAGTGTCTGTAAGAATTCTGGAGTCTTTGTTTCGCTGCTCTGAGTTTTGGGTTCTTTATTGGAAAATGCTGGGTGAAGGTTTTATTTTAGTTGCTCACTTGGTGATCTTGCTTGAGTGATTTCTTGATGACTAAAATTAGTAGCAGAAAAAAAAGAGTGATAGGGCTGCTGGCAGATTCACTTGAGTAACTTGCGTGGAGGAAGTGGCCACCCCACCTCCGTGGCCACATCCCACCCTGGGGTGTGGGAATGGGCAGAAAGGCTGTTGGACCCATAGCCAGCATCACACAATATAGAGAAACTTTCCCATGATTTAAAAGACTTAGAGGCTATAAATATTGTCAGCTTGCTTATTTCTGTCTGCTGTAATCTTCATAAAACTTTAGAGTTTAAGGAGCAGGCCAACTCACATGGAGTTAAATGACTTAACACACACACACACACACACACACACACACACAGAAAAAAACCCCACAGCATCCAGTCAGACCTACGTGAGCATTCCTGGAGAATTTTTTTTTCTTTCTTCCTATTTTCACAGGAAGCATAGTAAAGAGGATGGCTGGTCATCTGCTCATTTTTGTAGATAAGTTATTTCTCCTGCATCCTTTTGGGTTGTTTTTGCAGAGAAACTTCTTTAGAAAATATCTGTCATTGAGAGCTTTATGAAGATATCGAGCCTCCGCCGGTGGCAGAGTGTCTGTCTGTGTTCCTTGTCTTGTAAAAGGAGAAGGTGTCTGAAATGTGCAGGGCCCTGTTTGTTTCTACAAGCCACAGAGACAATATTTCCTGAACTATAAATATAATAGGAAGCTTCTGGTCACACTCACTTAGGGGTTTGTTAGGGTTTCCATGGTCTAATTCCACAACATTATGCCAAAATTCCTTTTCTTCTGCTATTTCCCTGCTTCATTGTTGGCGGCTCTGGGAGAGCAAGACAGAATTTTCTACCAGAAACGGAGTCATGTTCATTTGTTGAGATGTGAAGAGCATTATATCCAAACAATTAGTGAGGGGAGAGCAAATTACATCCTTGAAGATGGGCTATTAGAGAGGAAAACAACCCTTTTAGCTTAAAAGATGCCCTTCGAAGCCTCTCCCTGCCTTAGCTTGGGAGCCTGCCTGAGGTGTGCCCACCATGGAGAGTGCAGAACAGAACCGTGTGGCTCTATCCCTTTGGCTTCTAGGGCAGAATTTCTTTCTAGTCAATGACAAAACTATAAATGGGGCTTCCAGACAGGGCTAAGGGGGTCAACATAGGCTCCCGCCCACACAGGAGTGGGGCGCCTCAGTCCTGGCCATTCAAAGCCCCAGAACTGGAAGATTTGCCTAGGTTTGTTTTGTTTATTTTTCACAAAGAAAGCTTCCTTCCCCCACCCTGCCCCCTCCCCACAAACTGGCCTTTTCAATAATAATATTTGTTATGAAGGTTATTGGGTAATTATTGCGATTTTGTGAAGCAGCCCTTGCTAGAGGTGAAGTCTGTCATCACCTAACAAATGACGCCCGCGCAGTTCACTGCCGGGTTAAGTAAATGCAGAGAAGATAAATCTGCACACCCTAGGAATCGCCAGCAGAGCACGCTTTAGTACAAGTTCACAGTCAACTCGCCTGCCTGGGCCAGCTCGCCCAACAATTAAGGCTGCGTCTTTATTTTTAAATAAAGGGGGGAAAATGTCTCCAACTTCCATTACCTGCTTTCCCCCATCTTCTTTTTCCTTTTGCTATTTGTGAGGCTTCCCCGCCCTGCTCCCCATTGTCCTTGTAAATGTAATGATGAGTGATTTTAAAATAATCTCTTTCCTATTTTAAGTGCTGACAAAAAGAAGTAGGAGGCTGGTTTGACAGGAAATACAGTCACAATCACACACACACACACAAATCTAGTGCACCCTCTTGTTCTAAAAGGCTGTGGCAGAAGTAGGGCATCCCTGAGATCCTGGGAGGGGGGCCTTCCCCTGAGAGAAAAGGCACAGCTTTGTATATCTTTGTGGTTAGTGCGTTGCAACTGCAGGTCAAAAAGTTGAGGGTCAAAAGTTTACGTTGTGCAGCACTCTTAGTCATCTGCCCAGACAGAGTTTGATGTCAATGTTAAAGCTGCGATCTTGACTATCAGCACAAAAGATAAAATGGCTTGGAGTGACGCGTGTATCACGGTATGGACTCCAGGTGAACCCTCGTGGTTGAATGACCTCAATTACGGGGGGAAAAGGATAGAAAATTCCTCTTTTCAAGAGTAATACATGCTGTATTTCATCTTGAATTATCGCTCCCATTCTGAGGGAATAGCAGCAGGTAAATAGGCTTAGATTACTGAAAAACCAACACCTTAGATTGCTGGAGAACCAGGAGTCTTCGGGTGTGTCCAAAAATAAAAAAGCTCAGGAGTCATCAGTGGACCTTTAAGAAATAACGTAGCAAGTTTCCAATGCCCCATGGTACCTTCAAAGTCAAGAGAACCGGCAGGAAACTTCCTTGATTTGAAAACAGTGATTTTGATTTGCCATTTCTCTTTTTAGTACCCATAATGATCCCTAAAGTGTGTGAGAGGAGGGCAAACACAGGCATTTCTTGCAAAATGTGTTCTTTGCAATTTTCAAACACAGAATGCTTTTTCTGAAATTGCCACTCACTAAATGCCAAGAGTTCTTAGAGCTGGGAAGGGGAGGGGGGAAACGGAAACCCTCCCCCGAAGGGACAGGATTCTTCCACCCCTCCAGCAGTGAGAAAATGCTCATTGGTACCCTGAAAATGTTCCTGTTGTCGGACATTTTTCATTACGGTTATTGTTAACCCTACACTGAATGTAAGAGAAATGCTACAATCTATAAGTGAATAGCCACACTGTAAAGAATATGCCATTTGAGCAGGAAGGTGGGATCCAGAAATGTCAGAGCACCGTGACAGACTTCTGTTCTCCAGAAAATACTCTTTAAAAACACATTTGGAATAAAAGCTAAGGAGAGGAGAAGCTAGCTGAGGAGGAAGGGTGGGAGAGTGGGAAAGAAAGGGAACAGTGTGTTAAGGAAGCCGGCTGGAACCATGCCTCCTGTGCGAGTTGCAACTGGAGAGCTAAACACTATTTTATTTCTCATGCACCTATATTAGCTGTAAGTGTTGGTGCCATTAGAATCTATTTTCTGGGAGATGTATTTTCCTTTTCCAGGTATTGATCTTTAAGTAATCATTGTAGGGAAGCAGAGAAGAGAAAAGATGAAAAAATATTTCTAGGTTTTTCTT